GATGAGAATTATAATATCTGAATTGGACTTTTAATCATTCATGGAAAACATTAAATGATACATATACTGTGGGTATTAAATTTTTATCACCTAGGTATTATCCTGTGAGGACATTAGTCAGATAGTCTGAAGCCAAATGGTAGCTTTACCCACAACTCTGTGACCTTAGGAGAGTTATTTCACTCTGTGGTGCCTCAGTTTCGTCATGTTTAATAGTGACAATAATGGGATTTTTCCCAAGTATTTTGGAAGTATTCTATAAGAAAGTACTTGATGTTAGCTATGGCACTGTTCTCAATAATCCCAAATTTACTAATGATGCCATTTTATATTTTTATAAAGTTTAAAAAATAACTCTATTCTGTAAGAATTTTAATTCTTAATGCAAACATGTACTGCACAAGAACTATGCTAAACATAGTACTTTATAAACACCTCAGGCAATTAGCAACTTGAGAGATGAGGGGGTCTCTTCTAGCATATGCTAGCCTTGGAAACTCTACGTACCCAAGGATGACCTAGAAATCATGAGTCTCCTGTCTCTGCCTTCCAAATACTGGGATTTAATGCATGTGCCCCCATGCTCACCTATAACAAAATTTTATGAGTGTAAAGGTGTATACGTCCCTGAACTATGGGAGAGCATGCCACAGTATGAAAAATAAAGCTACTACCAAGGTGACAAAGCAGATCACAGATCTATTTCTCAATAGATCTTTTCCAGATCACTAAATTCTAGTTTTAAAATGTTGTCATTGTAGAAACAGCTATTTAGTTTGACTAAAGGTTTTCTGGTACTATAATCACCTCTGTAAACAGTATGAAGGACCAGCAGTGAGCAGGTAAACTGAGTCTGACCCCTGGGTTTACAGCTCAAGTGAGCCTGGTGCACAACAGGTGCTTTGAAAGGTCTGTACTGCCACAGAAAGGGACACTGCCACCTAGTGAGAACTTAGACTCATTACCCAGTGTTAGCAGCACTAAGTTGCCAAGCAGACTTGACCCTACTTAACATACTACATACATAGTCATATATGTCAGCACTTAGGCTAGGTGCTAGTAATAAACAAATGAAAAAGCCTATATTTTTGCTTCCTACAAGACATAAAAATACCATAGAAATTACATATTTCAAAGAAACTGATACTACAGAGAAAAGTTTTACCATTCAAAACCTAATATAGCAGGTCATATGCTAATTAATTTAGAAGGCAAATATGAATATAAATTTTGGCTGGGTGGTGGTGGTTGTGCATGCCTTAATCTTAGACAGAGGCAGATAGATCCCTGAGTTCGAGGTCAGCCTGATCTATGGAGTGAGTTCCAAGATAGCCAGGGCCACAAAGAGAAACTCTATCTTAAATAAACAAAACAAAGCAAAACACAAACAAAACTAACAACAACCAAACCAAACAAAAAAACAGTCTACAGTGACTCAACTCCTAGATCCTGTAAAATTGTGAAAATATTTATGTCATAAAACCATAGTGAAAAAATTTAAATATATATTTATAGTGTTTAATACAGTGTTAAATGGGTACTATAATTATTCTTAAATGTACAATAACATCCTAGAGACATAGACAACTATTGTTTAATAACAAAGCATTTATTGCTGCAGTCTGGCTTCATAGTTAATTCAGCAGAAACCGTTTCTCTGAGCAGTACCTTGTTGTGGGAACGTCAATGCCCATTGTTTGTGGTACACTGTGACTAAACTTTGTATTACTAGATGATTAACCCTTTCAAAATCAGGCAAATAAAACTGCCTTCTGAAAGTAAAAATTACACTTCTTACAAAAAAAAAAAAAGCAAAAATTCAGTAGAATGAAGGACTCAAAGACCACAAGCCGAATATACACTCAGCAGGAGAGACGCTTGCTGACTCTCACAGATTCTGCTGGAACCGAAAGAAGACTGATACATTTAGCTACCACTGTGGTCTCATTTGTAGCTGATTTAACTTACAAAAAAAGAACTTGCTTCTTTTTCCTTGAATATTTCAGAAGCTATTTTAAAAGTAACTTAGCTGTTTCTTTTGAACTTTATACCATTAAAACTCAGTAAAACCACATGTGAGCTTCATTCTCAGAAAACATAGTATGAGCTATGTTTAAAAAATAAAATATAGGGCTAAACTGTAATAAGTTAATTAAACATTAAAATTTTTAATAAAAAATTAATGATTATTTGAGCTACTGATTGTGGCCTATATTCAATGAGTACAACACTCAGAGACTGAAATAAGTCTCATTTTTTTGTACCTATATCATTAAAAAGAGTTGTGCCAAATCTTAGACGTCTTGAAGTTATTTTACTTCTTTCTAAGCTTCCCCTTTTTAAAAATAGGCAACAGAGTCTGGAAAATCTGTTGAAACATTTCGAGCTTTAAAATTTTATTTTTTTGGCAAGGTATAGGCATTGTATCAAAAATGTTTTATATGTGTTGCATAAAATAAGTAATTTCATGTTCTGTTATTCACGTATCGTTTCTGAAATGCTCACAGAAATCCATTCTCCTGCATCTAAAACGGTATGGCTCTAACATGAGTTGGTTGACCTTATGTGTTAAATGCTGCAATGCAGTTGGCCTGGTGTGACATCTGGGTTAGTAGATCAATGGAAAGGCTGAGTAATGGAGTAAGGGAGAAGCATCATCTTCTCAGCTCCACAGAGAAGTGCTTGTGGGTATGGAAAAGCGTGAGTTTCTGTAATGTGATTGGCTCCTGGAGATGAGCTTTATAAACAGTGTTAATTGTGGCTCTTCTCCTATTCCTTTACAAGGCTCCTTTACAACCACTGTCTTGGCCCTTGGAGCTCTCCGGTAGGGCAGGCACTGTTCCTAAAGTACCTTTCAAAGACAAGAGAATGGAGGGCCAGAAGAGCAGGGGGCATTAGCCAGGGTCCCTGAAATGAGCACAACAGGAGCCTAAGCTCCATGCTACTACTGGCCAGCTAAAGCAACTTGCTGTTTCTGAGCCAAGGGTCCCTTCTAGCGACAGGAAGCTACTTAAGGACAAAAGACAGAGCGGAACTTAACTAATCTTTGCAGTGAAAATTTCAAAAGTCTAAAAGAAAGCAAATTATAAACTGAATGAAAATGTTGTGAAATCTCCTAAGAGTCTGAGGCAATAACTGCTTTCTTGTCCTGGAGAATACTTCCAATTGGACAGCAACAGGCTGTAATTCTCCTTGTCTATGGGAAAACTGGAACGGGGCAAGTAACTGTTTCAGGGAACTTGTTACAGTGAGACAGGATTGGGTACTGGCTGACCTGAAGATGTCACTCACCCCTCTCTGGAACAGGGTAGCAGCATCTCTGGCAACAGTTGCTACTGATGGAAATGGTACCCCCTGCCTGGCAATTCTATCACTAGCAACAGCATTTCATAAATTTGAGTATAAGTTACAGAAATCATTTCTTTTCTATAAGGATCATTAAGATAAACCTTTTTCTGTGTTCTTTAAGATAATTCATTGGAAAATTTGTACTACATTCTATACCATGAACAGAACCTTCAGGTCTGTGATAGCTCAGGTGTCTAATCACACATTCTATACCATGAACAGAACCTTCAGGTCTATGATAGCTCAGGTGTCTAATCACATCTATCAGAGCATTAAATAAGCCAACATGTAGTGATTTAATAAATTTAACTTTGTTATTTCATTGAATTATTTGTTTATAGCTTCATTATTATCACATATACAATTGTATGGCTACATGTGTATAAACATCATGCATGTATATTACCCTAGCTTACAAAAATACTGAATCATGTTATGTCATAATTAACTAAAGCAAGGAAATTAATAGTCTTTGTACAACTAATATATGAAGGTTATAAAATATTGTTTTTGAGAAAGATTGAACAGTTAGAAAAGAAAAATACTAATTTCAGAATAGAAAATAAATATTTAAGAAACAACATAAACCAAAATTGTTCTCAGAATGCATCTTAATTCCTAAAAAGTAGATCTAAAGTTTTATCATCATTATTTTAAAAATGATAGGCACATATAATCGTTAGAGTTGAAAACATTAGATTTCTTTGCCAGATTCCATTTTCATCCACATTTAAAATTTTGTCCAAATTTTATATTAAAAATTTCTTAACTACAATTTACCAAAGATTTTTGCTTTAAAAAAAAATAAAATCACAGGAAAAGAAATTAGCTTAAACCAGTTTTCTATCTCATACTTGTAATCCTAAAACTTGGGAGCCAGAGACAAGAGCCTTAAGTTCATGGCTCCCTAGACCTACAAAGTGCATTCAAAGCTAGCCTGAACTACAAAGACTCTGTCTCAAAACAAAACAAAAAAGCTAAAACACATAAATAAAAACCCCCAAACTAAACAAATGCCCTAACATACAAACAAGACCCAAATAACAAAATAATTCACTATCCAACTAAAACATTTCAAAAATATGTATTTTGTGTAATATTTACCACTTAAAGTAAGTTGATATAGTCCTAATTTTATATGGATTTCATTTATTTATTTGTGATTCCAATATAGCACAGTCACATGTTTTCTTTTTTAAGACTTTTTAAGGTTAGCTTCAAATCAACACACAACAGAGGATAATGTAAACTTCTGGCATTCCTGTTGCCACTGTAAACCTAAACAGGCATTTACACCAGGTTTCCACCAGGTTTCCACTAGCCATGCACCACCATATCCAATTCATGGGGTGTTGGTAATCAAAGGCAAGGCTCATGCACGCTAGCGAGGTCAGTACTGTGTCAACTGATCTCTATGTGCCTCCTTATGTGCACTTTTGCTAACATCTAAATTCCATGTTCATAATGCATAGAAAATAATGAAATGTTCCAACATCCTAATAACAACCTATGTCATCTTTTGGGCTCTTTTATATAGTATATTCAAAGAGACTATGTTACTTGAAATAATTAATAGATTTTAATAGTGTTCCTGATTCTTGGTCCATCATAAATGTAAACATTCCTTCATTTACATTAAGTAGTGGACTTACCCTGGAAATCATAAATATAAAGAAGAATCGGCTCACTCTGTCCAAAGGCACAAAATGCAACCATATTCTCCAATGGATGGTAAGAGATGTCTCGAATAGTTGACTTGAATGGCAGGTCAGAATACATTGCCACTTGTTCTCCTGAAGAAAAAGAAAGGCAGCAACTTGTACTTTGCCACACACTTCTCATTCCAAGATGATTCTATACCTCACTGGAAGATTCTATACCTCACTGGAAGCAGCAAGGATGAGGCTCCCATTCCTTACATGACAAGAAATACTTCTAGGTGTCTGAGTACCACTGTGAGGAATAATTATCTGCACTCTGCATTCTGTTGGCTTCTTTGTAGGTTTTAGTCCAACCTCTTCAATGTTTTGTGGAACAAAATACATAGGAAGTGTTTTGATGTAAATGGAGAGGTGTGTACGATTAAGACCTGAGAAAAGTGTGCGAATTATAACTAACAAAGAATTTGCCAAAACTGGGGAGGGATTACAAAACTCAGTAATTGAGGAAACTCTCTTGTCAGGAAAGAATGAGCAAGGCCTCAATTTTTCTATTTTATTTTTCTCCCCTGGAGGCTGAGGTGCCAACTGCTTGAAAAGCAGCTACAAGATGCCAGCAGCAGAAGTCATTGATACCTGGGATCATCAGCCAGAAGTCTAAGGCATCAGAGACTTTCACAAGAACATTTCGTTACCAGTCAAACCATGTCATCCATGTTGACCATGTATCTACACAGTTATATCTCAGCTTATCACTTTCTATGTGATATCACAGCATTCATAAGGTGCGTTTCAAGCATCTTCACTATCTCACAGGCCTTGAAAGAATAAATATTGATTTATAATGTGAAACTCACAATGATATTCAAACAATCAAGAACAAATGTAATACATATTTAGAATATAGCTGAATTTTATCAAACGCTATCTGTTAGGGTCTGGTGTAAAATGTTCCTCATGGGCTCATATGTTTGCACACTTGGTCTCCAGCTGGTCTTAGGATGTGGATCCTTCCTGAGGTGGACAAGTATGTCACTGAAGGTGGGTTTAAGTTTGTTAGTGGTCCTATGACTGCTGACGTGTCAGCTTCTGTGTGTGTGTATGCGCACACGCATGTTCGAGTGTGCGTGCATGCACATACACATGCCTACAGACTCTGGTCTAAGAGCTCCTGGCGCTCTTCTACATCTGCCTCCCATTTTGCCACAGGAATGCTGGGACAAAGTAGGTGTTACTGCTTCTTGATTTCCATGTTTCTGAAGGTTCAAGCTCACATCTCCACACTTACATGGTAAACGGTTATTTTATCGACTAAACTGTTTCCTCAACCCCACTCTCTGCTTCCAATTTGCCAATACAATATGAACGGCAGCTTCTCACTACTGCCATTATGTGCCCCTTGCCATGATGGATTATATCCCCAGAACTCTAAGGAAAAAAAAAAAAACACCCTTCCTTCCTTAAACTGCTTCTTGTCAAGTATTTTGTCAGAATAATGAGGAAACTAATTATACCTGATTTTAAAACACATAGTTAAAAACACAAAGTCAGAATTTTTCTAAAAATACCCAAAGCTGTAGTTATCAAATACTTTGAACTTTCCAACCCACTCACCAAAGGACTTTTTAAGATCGATGAACACTTGCCTGTCTCTGGGTTCCAAACGTACACTATTCCATCCTCACTCCCAGAAAAAAGCAGAGTCCCACACGGTGTCAAAGTGCTGTGAATCTTCTCCCGGTAATTTGCTGCACCCACAAATTTCCTGGCTGCCAAACTATAAATAAACCAAAAAAAGAAATGCAAAAATGACCCAACTTAACTACCTAAAGGACTAGAGGGAAAGAAATGCTATTTGTAAATACTGAATTTGAGTTAATAACTATAGTTTTGAGAGTATATGATATGGTAGACATTCTGTGATGGACAGTCAACAAACAAGCAGTAATTCTATGTTTCTTTCTAATTTATGTGATACACTTCTTTCCTCTGCTGAACTATAATAATAATAATAATAATAATAATAATGATTAATATAAAATTAACATATAGACTTTCTCATTTAGCAACAGCTGACATTGTTTCAGTGCTCACAATCTTTAGGATAAGAAACCAGATACATGCTTTTTCACTCAATCAAAAATTCATCAATAGTGGGTTTGTGTGTCAGATAACAGAGAATACATTTTGATTTCAATGGAATCATGTCATTGTCTAACTGTATCTTATGAAATATTCTATTGTTGGACAACGTTCAGTGTATGTCTTGCTTTCTCCTACCTATCCTGGTGTGTGTGTGTGTGTGTGTGTGTGTGTGTGTGTGTGTGTATGTGTGTGTGTATTAACATTTTTGGTTTATATTTCCAGACTATGAGTTATTGAGTAAAACATTTATGGAATCTCTTACAGTGTGTTCTTACTGTTGTAAGCATTCTGCTTACCTACTTTTGTTTTTTCATAAACCCCCTTATGGATATGGTGTAGTATTTCTCCCATCCATCAAAAGGGGAAGGGATAGAAAAAGCAGCATCTGACTCTTTAAGCAGCCCTCCTCTGGAGTCCAGGTATGATCTTATAGGGCTCAAAAAGAGAATAACTTGGCCACCTTATCTAGTCCTAGTTTCTGTTTTAAAAACTTTCCTCTTGGTATTCGTTGTCAAGAAACCTATGCTCAGGCTACCTATATGTCTTGAACACATATCCCACTTAGAATTTTATTTCATTTCCTACCCTACTGAAATCCTCCATCTTCCAGCCTTCAAGATTGATTCAAAGGTCAGTATTTCAACAGAATCTTTAATAGAATTATAACTGTCACCTTTCTTGTTGCTGTAATATATATAGTGATTATACCACACATTTATATTCATTAAGATACACATATTGAGATCTGGCTTATCTACTAGCATGCCATGGATACTATGCATAGAAAAAAGAATATTCAGATTCCAATATTCATCTCATGTTTTCACCTAAATGCTTGTTGTTATGCAAAAGCCAATGATGAGATTACCAACTTCAGATGTGGTAATTCTGCTATCACTTTCCCACAATGTGCATGGTGGGGTCTTGAGCTATTATAGAAACGCTGAAGGGCTAAGGCACAAAAAAGGTATGTACAGAATCAACTCATATAGACTGATGTGTGCATTTCTAAATACAATAGCAAACCCAGAAAATAGTTTCTCTTGTTTGTTTCACATGGAACTGTAATACCAACAAAAAGTATACTAGCAGTACACACTGCCTTTGACAAACTCTGCTTGCCTTTTATAGTAAGGAATTTACTATCCTTTCCTTTGTTAAAGTAAAAGACAAAGATGCATTAGCCAAGAGACGCCTCCTTCAGTTATATATATTGTAGTCTAGGCCAGTACCAAAGTATGAGTGTCTGCTTTTCATTGTGAAAATAGAAACCACTGATTCATTTCAGCCTCGGAGCTACTCAAACAGTGTCAAGTAGATCTCCGTTGTGAGGGCTGTCCTAGCCCCCCACATAACATGCACCCCCGATCTTCTCTCATCAGATGTAAGAAGCAATAGAAAGATCTCTACAGATAGTGTGCCTAGGGCCACACTGCCTACTCAAAAACACAGCTACATTTTATAATCATAAAAAAAAACCAGCTGAAGTTCTTATCCTATTAGTTCTAAGATACTTACATCCGCAGATCCATGATCCTCAGTGTACTGTCTTTGGTGTGGATTAATAAACGCTTGCCATTGGGATGAACCTCCAGGTAACTTATTGGAACTCCCCTGAATTCAGTTTCCTTAATTTCCTAAAATGGTGAGGGGGAAAAAAAAGTCAAACTATTGCTACTGATGTGTTTGATGTTACATGTTGCACCATTTATAAAGGACAAATTAAATTTAAAATGCCATTTCCAGTTGAGAACAGTATCATACCTATATAATACCAGCATTTGGGAGGTTGAAGCAGGAGGATTGCCATGGCATATACAGTAAGTAAGTTTCAGGTTATCATGGGAAACAATATAATAGCATTTCTCAACAAAATAAAATAAAATTAAGAATAATCCAAAATTTTCAATTCTACTACATTGAATATTTTAACATTATTAGTAACAAGGAGTTTTAGCAACTTCAATTTAGATTTAAAAAATAAAAATAGCAAATTGTATTTTTCTGTTAGTGTCGTATTTAATTATTATGTCATTCACTTTCTCAAAATATAGCAATTCTTTTTTTCCTTTTTTAAAATTTTTTTTTATTGGATGTTTTATTTACATTTCATATGTTGTCCCCTTACCCCATGCCCCACCCACCCAGGAACCCCCAATCCCCTCACCCCTCCTCCTTCTTCTCTGTGGATGTAACCTCTATCCACCCCCCACTCCCACTTCCCCACCCTCAAAATTCCCACCCCCTGGGGCGTCCAGCCTTCATGAGGTCAAGGATCTCTTCTCCCACCTATGCCCAGCAGGGCCCTCCACTCTACTTCACATGCATCTTCTCACACTTCCCTGTATGCTTAAATCATGCAAGAAAAACTTCAGTATTTTATAAATTCAAAACTGACTCATCAAGTTTTAGAGTTGACTCTTTCCTCATAAACTTCCACTTGCTTTTAGAGAGTATGCTCCAGGCATAATATCTGCATTATATGACTGAGATTATAATCATTTTTGGGAAGTTTGACTCTACTCCTTCCTGCTGCCTTTTTCCAGTTATGTGCAGCAGCCTGTGAGGAAAAGTAGCTGACAGTGTCATTTAAGATATCAGCATTGAGAACCAATCTCCAGGAACCTTGAGTGAGAACTCAATATACATAATGCAATAAAATCATAAAATCACCTTATTAGTGGATAAAATACATACAGACAAGACCAGAAACTATATAGCTGTTAGCAACAGAGGGGATGCTGCTGTGTATTGGCCTTCACAATATTTGGGGGGAGAATGGTCAATACTAAAAACTTAGGCCACAAAAATATGCATAAAGTAGAGTCCATTAAACTAAAAGGCTGCTGTACTGGAGACTAAGCAACAGCTCACAGAACTACAGTGGGCACATTTGGAAAGTAATCTGCACAATGGACTACAGGGGGCGCACTGGGAAAGTA